AGCCAAAAACGAAACATCTCTAGAAAAATTCTCGCAACTTTTTTTTTTCGATTGAAAAACGTGTATTTCTCGATTAAGTAAAAACAAATTTCTCTTATTCAAGAAGATTTAATAATAGAAAATATAAAAATATTGAATGATAATTAATCTAATATAAAAACAAGTCGCATTTCATAAATGGATTCGATTATATATATATACCGTGTCGAAGTTAGTTGTACTTCATTTATCAATAAATTATTTACTAAAATCGAATATCATATTGTTGAATACAGGATAATTTGTTTTTTGCAAATGAATACTCTTTATTCAACAAATAGTTGAATTAAGAATGTTCCTTGGCAAAACAAATTTTATCCTGTATTCAACAATATGATATTCGATTTTAGTAAATCATTTAATTGATAAATGAAATACAACTAACTTCGACAAATTTTATTGTCGAAGTTATAACTTCGCCGGTCGGTGTAACTTCGATACGACATATATATAGATTGATGATGCCAATTTAATGTAAATATCCAATTAACTAAATAGAATAAAAATTTGATGATAATCAATATATTTTTTCAATAAAAATCGAGCAAAAATAATCAATCTTTCATATTTATCTTTGAAAACTAATGGCCAAAAGTCATAAAGAATCATACATTAAAAAACTACCATTAAAAATGTAATCTAAGAATAATTTTTATATATAAAAAATAATTGATGAATATTTTTTTTAAAGAGAAAACAAATAAAATTTCATTTAGAATTGAATTATATTTTAATTAAATAAATAATTAATATTGAATTGATTGTTCAATTTGTGTTCTGTATTTTTTTTAATTTAGAGAATTGACGAAAAAAAGCATAATAGAACAATTAGATAGATTGTTTCTCGAAATACAATTCAAGAGAAAAGATCAAAAGATATATTTTTATTTTAAGTCAGTTTTTTCTATTGAAAAAAGAAGTCCGAAGATAATGAATGTAAATAAATATTTGACAAGTTTTATCTTGTTTATATTCAAATGCCAAATAATGATCGAAATAATAACATATAAATAAAATGTCGAAGTGGTTCAGTTAGTGGTGGTGAAATCGATGAATGTTCAAGTGTTTGGTGTTGAAAGTATGGTTGTTATTATGTCAATTTCATCTGTTACTTTATCAAAATAACTTCCTAAATCTTCCGTAAATAATTCAATAAGTTCATGATTTGTTAATGTTAATTGTTCATTTTCATACATAACATGAGTTAAATTTCTAAGAATACTACCAATATAATGTCAATCAAATTTATCATCTTCCATGACTGTATCTTGATAATTTCGATTTGA